AAAATGAGGGTGCTAGTGCCCAGCATGCACTTGTGGATTTACTGTCATATGAGGCTCTGTCATGCTGTGTCCATCTGATAAAGCCCTGTAAAGGAGACCAGGTATATTTCACTCCTGAAACTACTAGGATATCCAACTTAGGGATGCTAAATTTCGATTAATCAGCTAATCGAATAGTTGATGGCATTTCCACCAACTGCTCAACTAATCGATGAGGGGGTGGAGGGACACCGCTATCCCATTGCCCCTCTCTCTTTGAAATGTCCTGGAGCCACCCGCAGCGCTCTCCACAGGCAGCTTCTGTACACTTCAAAGGGACTGGGATGGGACTGTTTCAATCCTTGCTCCAGCCATTTCCCCTCTTCCTCCACTGCCCCCTGTGGAGACGGTGCTGGGGGGAACAAGCTTTTAAGCCCGCTCCCCCCCAGCACTTGCTCGTTCTCCCCCACCTTTGCTGCCTCTTCCTGATAGAGGCAGCAGGGTAGAGGGAAGCGACTAGTTGAAGTCCTGCTTGACTACCTGATAAGCATTTGCTTATCGGGTAGTCGACTAGTTGTTTACGTCCCATATCCTACTTGTAAGCCCAGGCAAGCAACAACGCTACTAGATCATTGTAACACACTTTCAAAAGACTCCCTTGTTTCCCCAGAGTGCTTGAATCACCGGATGACCTCAGTAGGTAGCTTTCTGCAGTGATTCAGTGTAACTGTTGTCCCTTGCTGAAAGAAAGGAGGCATCTATTCTGAAATACAGTGCTAGTGCTGGGAACAAGGGAGCAGAGGTCAGCAAGTGGTATCGCTCAGTATCGTAGAGGAGGGGGAGGCGAGCGGTTGTAACTGAGAACTGCAATATTTCAGCTGTCCTCTGGGTCCGATGCAGATTTATTTGTACCATTTTTATACAGGAAAGGCGGGGCACTGAAATACTCAGTAACCAATAAGACCTTGTGAAACTACACTTAACGCTGTTTTTGTTTACTAATATTAAGCAATGTTCTTGTTCTTGGCACTTGGACACACACTGCAGAAAGATGATCAAAGCCAGAGGAAGGAAAAGCGGAGGCTTTTGTCTTCAAGTACCATCTTTCTGTCCCATTTTGCTATGCCACCATCCTCAAGCGCTCCTTATTCAGATCCACCCTGGAGAACCACGGCTGCTTGTGAGCAGTGCAGCAGCCGTGCGAGGCTGGGGGGTGGAAAGGATGCTCCACATCGTGCGAAGATGTTCTGTTGGAAAAGGGTATGTTGTGACAGTCCTTTTCTCTTAGCAGGGCTGCGATCCCTTTGCACAGACCCAGCGCAGCAAACTGCAGCACCGCCGTGCCCGAATTAACCAGCAGATCAACAAGGAGATGCGCATGCGAGCTGGGGCAGAAAACCTCTTCAAGTGAGCACTGCAAGAACCCCTGGGTCCAGCATTCTGAGCTGCTTCTTACTGTAGGCCAGTTCTGCTCCTCCTTAGCAAGAGCGCATCTGTCATATTGCCTAGGGACATGTCAGCTTGCTCGCTGACCCAGACTAGCCACTACCCGGGGAGGAGTCTGTTCTGCATCACCAGTGTCTTCCATCATTGTTTCCCCTACTAGTCAATTGGGAGATAGATAAGGTGACTGAATAGGACTCTCCCTATTAATTAGGAGTCTGTTGGTGTGGCCAAATCTTTCCCCGTCTTCCTTTTATAGCTTGACTAGAAACCCGAAAGGGAGAGTGGAGCCCTGTGCTGTTGACCTGGCAATTCTTTACCGGTGGTGTCAACTTCTGGCCACTTCTGCATGTTGGGGTAATGCGCACTAACATGCTATGCATTAATTGATCTGTGTCTTCCCTGCTGTTGCTCAGTAGGGAAATCAGAGTATGTTCCGGCAGGGTCTACTCAGACCAATTAATGCATAACGTGTTAGTGCATGTCAAAATCACGCACGCATGCGTGCTTATTACTCCATCATGCAGACAAGCCCTCCATCTGCTCCTAGATCTTACGAAGCATCCAGCTTTACTGCCTCATTGAATTAAAAAGGCTTGAAATCTTGTTGTGTCCTATGCTGCATGATCCTCCTTCATAAAACCAAGCAGAAACGTTCCCTGTCCTCAGGAATGTGCCTGTGTGTGCAGTTTATATCAAAATTATGAATCTGCCTCTTGATGTTACCTGCCGTTCATAAGATTCTGCAAGAACATGGGCAGCAAGTAGTTCCCCTCCTCCTAACGTAGGCATTTCAAATCCAGCATAGTGCGGAAAAGTGGGGGAGCTAGAGGGAATGCCAGGCAAAACACAGGCAACTTAATTACTTTGGGAAGTGAGGTGCATCTGTGCTAAGTTACAGTGCAAAACACCCTGATGTTGCTTTTTTCCTCAGGCTGCTGAAAGCGTTTGGATCAGCAGTTTGAACACCTCTCACTCTGGTAGCTTTCTTCTGCCAGCCTGTTTGATTTGATCTCTACCAGGGCCATTCTGAGCAGAGGTTGGCCAGGAAATCTGATTTTTGCACACTTACATCTTGTAGTTTTGGGGTTAACGAGAAGCAAAACTTGACTCGCAAACACATGACATTTAAAAATCATTTAGTAAAACGTTGCTGTTTTTTCCCCCATAGCTTTTAAAGTACGTGATCTTGTTCTCCAAGGGTTACCACAATGACTTCTGAGCCATGTCTGCTCTGAGAATTTGTCCCAGAGGTCTCCACCACTGAATATCTAAAATGTAGCCAAGGAAAGCTGTGGCTTCTGCTGATTGGTGGATCTTACTATTGAGCCAGCATGCTTATCAGGGTAACCTATTAACTGGCAGGGGACTGCTCCAGCTGGACTAGAATAATCCTCCATGGCAGGATCCTGGGTAACTGGTTAAATGTTCCGTTTAACGGGTTAACTTTTTAACCAGGATTTTACACTATGCGGGTGGTTGGACATTGGCTCTTGGAGTCAGGACAAGATCCCAGTGTAGACAGAACCAAACCCCTTAAAATGATATGTTTGGAGCGCCATTCCTCTTAAGAAACTGTAGGGAATAGTGTCTTTGCCTCCAACAAAACTGCATTTTATTTCAGTAATAGTTTATTTACCCATCAAACAAAAACTGAGACAGTTAAACAACGAAAGTCCTTTTCCCATCTTGTTCAAATACCACTGGCTCAGCTAAATCATTGAAGCAATCAAGGGGTTGGCAGTAAACCATATCTTTAATACGTCTGTACAAAGAATTAGGTAAACACTTGATAATTCCTCAGATCAAGACTCATGATTGTATGTTCTTAATTAGCCCAGAATGCACTCTCATGCAGAGGCTAGCATGAAACCTGGAAACTCTTGTAAGTTCAGTTTAAAACAGTGTATCAGCCTTGTGAGGACTTTATGCACAAAAGTAAATTTTGCCCTTAAAAAACACTTGGCTGTTCCCTAGGGGGTTGCACTAGTGTGTGTGGGAGGTGCCATGGCCTAGCTAAGCTGGAGAGATTCCATACCAGACCTTCCTGAAGTGCTTACTGCCTAACTAGTTTCATTTTCCATGTGCAACGAGTTTAGTCTGACCTGTAACCTATACACTTGGTTCTTTCTTCCTCCTGCTCCCTGGCTGAAAAAAATTGAGCAAAACTCACTGGAAAAAAACATTTAGACCATAAAACTATAAATGCAAATTGAGAATTGAGTGTGTTCACATGTCCAAAATACCTCACAATTCTGCATTCACAAATCAAGGCCTCTTTCATTTAAAAATCCAGCTTGGCTCAAAGAAGGTGAAAGCAGAAATTCAGAAACAATAAATGGGGACACTAATAGCAGTGAGTACAAATCAGCCATTAGATATTGCAAATAGTTGACACGGGAAGCTAAAAATGCCAATTAAAAACTGATGGCCAGTTAGACAATAACAAACAATTCTTTAAATATATCCGGACCAAAGGAAATCTTAGCAGTGGCATGGTCCAGTATTAGACAAGTATGCTGAAATGATCACTCTTGATGCAAAAGAGGCAGACATGTTCAATAGCTATTTGGAAAGTAGTAGGATGATATACAGGCAGTCCCCGGGTTACGTACAAGATAGGGACTGTAGGTTTGTTTTTAAGTTGAATTTGTATGCAAGTCGGAACTGGTACATATTGTAGGGGAAAGTCTAGCCAAACATTTCTCCGGAGCTCAGTTTTATTCTCCCACACCTCACTTCTCTCAGTCCTTTATTCTCAAGCTGAGGTGTCTGCTGAGAAAAGCCGCTTTGCGTCTCCCTGGTCTGCTGGGGGGGGCGCTAGCTTCGCGTCTCCCTGGTCTGCTGGGGGGAAGCAGCTAGTGCGGGGTTGCCTCACCCCGTTTGTAAGTAGGGATCCGATGTAAGTCGGATCCATGTAACCCGGGGACTGCCTGTAGTTGCATATTATAGAGATAATTAAATCTAAGGAGGATGTTGAACAGAATAGGTCAGGAGATCTCTGAAGCTCCCCCTTTTGTTTTAAAATAAATAAATAAATCTTGGCACTCTAGAGAAATGCCAGAGGACTAGAGTTGCCAGGTGTCCGGTTTTGAACCGGACAGCCCGGTATTTGAGGTATCTGTCTGGGAAATAAATTGAGAAAATACCAGACATAGATGTCCGGTATTTTCTAATTAAGTTTTATTATGAGTAAGGCTCGACAAATAATGTAATCTACTCGCCCGTGGCAAGTAGATTACAACCCGGAAGAGCCGGCATAGAGCGATCTGAGCATGCACAGAACTGCACGGCTGGTGATCCCTGATTGAGTATCAGGACGTAGTTGTGTACTGCCTAGCTGGTAGACACGTTCACACTGCATGAGTGTGTCTAACCAGCCAGGCAGTATGCAACTATGCAGTAGAGACGAAGGGGATGGGGCCGGGGCCGGGGCTGGGGCAGGGTGGAATCCCCGGGACCAGACTTGCTTGTGCTTCGCTGGGACCATGCACGGGACAGGCA